TGGCTGGGGTCTAGAGGGACCCGGAGCTCTCGTCTGCAGGACCTTGGCCCGAGACCTCAGGGTTGGGGGCTGGTAAAGGGGGGGGTGGGCAGACAGATCAAGAGAGGGGCCGAGGACGGGCACCGACTGGCATGGGGGAGGCATGGCTGGGGTAGAGCAGAGGGGCACAGCGACCCAACAAAGCGACCCGGGGCCAGGAAGAGCAAGGTGCCCGGGGGCTGCATTGAGAAGGTTGCGGGGGGTGGAGGGGGGGAGACCCGGGTCTACCCAGGACTAATCCCGGGAGGCGGGCGAGGGGTGGGAGGAGCAGCAGAATGCAGCGAGGTCCGGTCTTCTGCCGGTGAGAAGTATGTGTGTGTGTATGGGGACCTGAGGAGCAAGGCCGGGAAGGCAGAGATCCACCGCCCAAGGGAGAAGAAGCCGCAGAGGAAGCCCTGTGGTAAACCTCTGGACGGGAGCTACATACACTTGGGTAGCCAAGTGCCTCTTTCTAAATATGAAATCCATCCTCCGTGTACCTCCGCATACAGACCCCTCTCGGGTTTTTTGTTTTGTTTTTTGTTTTTACCCTTTATCAGGTAGAGTTGCGTTGTTTGGTTTAAGTGGTTTGTTAGGTTGGTTGGTGAATTAGTGTGTGTGTGTGATGTGGTGCGTGTGTACACAGCACAGCGCCGTGCCAGGGTCAGGACAACTTGGATGTCAATTTTCGCTCTTTCCATGGGTTCCTGGGATTGAGCTGATGTCTCCAGGTTTTCAAAGCAAGTGAACCATGACTGGGTTTTTTGAGACAGGGTCTCATGCAAGCCAGGTTGGGCCTGAACCATGAAGCCCATGATAACCTTTAACCCCTGAACTTGTGATTCTCCTGCCTTGGCCTTCTGAATACCATCCTGAGCTGTTGGTTTTTAGGCCCGGATGTCCTGTTTCCCAGGCTGACTTCTCATTTGCTATAGCTGAGGATGACTTGGAACTTCTGAGCCTCCATCTCCCAGGTGTTGGGATTAGAGGCCGTCAGCCTATAAATCTTGCTATGTCTTATTTAAATCATGACCAGCCCCTTCTTGGAATAAGTGGAATGTTCAATGGAATGGGGACGTTTTGATATGAGCTATTTCAGAAATAAGGTACCTCATTTGCTCATCCAAGGTCGAGAATCTACCAACTGCTACCAGGAAGATTTGGTGTGTCACCAACGAATATGTGTAAAGCTTTGCCCACCTTATTTACCACATTCCTTTTTCTCATAGAGGAAACTGTCAACCTTTGTGACTTGCTTAGTGGCGGTAGGAACTGAGACATCGCTCTACAGTGTTGCCCACAGCAACCTGAACAGATCCTTTAGTCTTTGCGGAATTTAAACTCAGGGAAAACTTTTTTTTTTTTTTTTTTTTTTTTTCTGGTTTAAAGAAAATTTCCAAATGAGCCAGTGTGAAGAGAATTGGTGACTGGCAAGATGATATCTTGGTGAATGAAAGGTACCTATTGCCAAGCTTTTGGGTTGTTTTTTTTTTTTTTTTTTGAAGACAGGGTTTCAATGTGTACCCTGACTACCCTGGAACTTGCTCTATAGACCAGGCTGGCCTCGAACTCAGAGATCAGCCTGCCTCTGCCTCCCAAGTGCTTGGATTAAAGGCCTGTGCCACTGCTGCCCAATTCCTGTCTCCTAGCTTTAATGACCTAGCTTGAGTTTAATTCCCAGGACTCACAGGAAGGTAGAAGCAACCCTGAAAGTTGTCCTTTAATCACCCAATACATGCCGTGACACACACACACACAGAGTGTGTCCTTGCCAGCCTGAGGACCCGAGTTTGAGTCTTCAGCATCCATGTAAAAGCCAAAAGCCACAACACACATCTGAAATCTCATTGTGTGTGTGTGGTGGGGGGGGGGAGGCACAAACCAGAATCCGGTGGATTCATGGATTCATTAGCCAGCCAGCCTAATCCGTTAAGTGAGAGACCTTGTCTCAAAAAATAGGGTGGAAGTGGGAGAGATGGTTCCGTAGTTAAGAGCTGTTCTTCTAGAAACATAGATCCAATTCTTAGCACCCGAGTGGCTTATAACAGGCCGTAACTCAGTTCCAGGGGATCTGCCGCTCTCTTCAGGCCTTTGCAGGCAGTAGGCATGTACTTGGTACAGAGACATCCGTGCAGGCAAAGCACCCTGTCTTAGTCACTCTTCTATTGCTGTGAAGAGACGCCATGACCGAGGCAACTGCTACAGGAGAAAAGCGTTTAATTGGGGCCTTGATCAGAGTTTCAGGGGTTTAGTCTATTACCGTCATGGTGGGGAGCATGGCTAAGGCATGCAGGCCGACACTGGAGCAGTAGCTGAGAACTGCATCCAGATCCATAGAAAGAGAGCCATCTGGGTTTGGCATGGGCTTCTGAAATCTCAAGGCCCGCCCCCAGTGACACACTTCCTCTAACAAGTCCACGCCTCCTAATCCTTCTAATCCTTTCAAACAATGCAACTCCCCAGGGACTAAGCGTTCAAATATGTCAGCCTTTGGGGGCCGTTCTCATTCAAACCAGCACACACCCATACACATTAAAAAAAATAATATTAAAAATTTGAAAAACAACAAAACATGGAGTCCTCCAGCATCATGGTGCACATCTTTAATTCCTAGCACTTTGGGAAACAGAGGCTGGCCGTCTCTGTAAGTTCAAAGCCAGCCACGACTCTATAGTGAGACCTTTTATCAAAAATAAAATAGCTGGCCGGGCGGTGGTGGCGCACGCCTTTAATCCCAGCACTCGGGAGGCAGAGCCAGACGGATCTCTGTGAGTTCGAGGCCAAAGTGGTCTACAGAGTGAGTTCCAGGAAAGGCGCAAAGCTACACAGAAAAACCCTGTCTCAGAAAAAAGAAAGAAAGAGAGAGAGAGAAAGAAAGAAAAAAAGAAAAGAAAGAAAACAGGGTTCTCCAAACTTTCCAGCTGGGGCAAGATTAAACCCCATGGCAGAAACTTCTGCTCATATCCCCAGTTTATTTCTGCTACTTTTTGTTAACCAGGTAAGTGGCTTTTGGCTTGGGTTTCATCTCCAAAAGATTAGAGATCAACTTTCAACTCCATTCTAGCTCTAAGCATTAGGAGCCTCTGTCCTAGGCCCGGTTCAGGAAGTAAAGAAGCTTACCAAAGTAGCTTACCACAAGCAAGAATCTTTGTTACCAAAGGAGCCTGGAAATGTCTTTTTGGCCCAAGTAACAGTAAGCTCTCTGGATCAGCATGTGTCAGGGAACTTCTGGCCAGAATCACCACCAAACACTTGTTTTTCCACCTTCTCAGAGTTTACCACCCTTCTCCAGTCAAGACTTCTATGTATTTCCAGGCACCTGTCTGGGGGATCTTTGACTTCAAAACTGACTATTTTAAAGCTCAAATTAAAAAGTGCCAGCCTGGTGGCACACAACTATAATCCATCCAAATACGCAGGGTGCCGAGGCAGGAGAATCGCCGTGATTTTCAGGCTGTATAGTCCAGACTAGGCTGAACTCTGTATCAAGATTCTGCTGGGCAGGTGAGATGGCTCAGGAGATAAAGCTTGTCAGGCCTGTGGGCTTGAGTTCCACCCCCTCCACACATGCTCATACACATCCCTCTGCGGTTAACAGCACAGGCTTCTCCTCCAAAGGACCTGGGTTTAATTCCCAGCCCTGACATGGTGGCTCATCTTCTGTAACTCCAGTTCCGGGGATCTGACACCCTCTTCTGCCCTCCTCGGGCACCAGGCACATGCGTGGCACACAGACAGACACACAGGTGAAACACCCGTACACATAAAACAATAATTGAAAAATCTTACTGTAATAAAAAAAAAAAAAGGATTCTGTTGGGGTGACCTTCAAGATGACTCGGCAAGAAGTGTTTGCCGCTAAGCCTGATGCCGAGTTCGACCCCTGGAGCCTACCCGGTAGAAGGAGAAAATTAACTCTT